TGCAGGTATCTTTTTTATAGAGTGATTTGAGTTCTTCAGGGTATATTCCCAGTAGGGGAATTGTAGGGTCATATGGGAGGTCAACATTTAGAGCTTTTAGGAATTGCCATACTGTTTTCCACAGAGATCTAATTTAAATTTTTTCCTGATAAAATTATTAACTTATTGTTATTATTTTTTTCTGTAGAGACCAGATATCAGTATGTTGCCCAGGCAGATCTTAAACTTCAAGTGATCCTCCTACCTTGTCCTCCCAAAGTGCCAGGATTACAGGCATGAACCACTGTGCCTGGCCCCAACCTGGTAAAATTCTGAAGACTGATTAAGATGACGCTACTTCATCATGTACATAAGCCGTCTATGCACAATAGAAGATACTCACTAAATTACATTATTCCAAGCCTCAGTGTGTTCTTTAGCTATGCCATTTTCTAGAAGACAACTGGCTTGTTTAGCAGACGTTCAGAGAAAAATAATATAAACCTTTCCCCCGGGCATCGCTGTGGGAGCAGGTTCGTCCACCTGGTGCGACACCAATGCCAGGTCTTCGAGCAGCTCCATAACCACTAGCACACAGTGTCCCCAGCCACACCTATTTTCCATACCTGTCATCATTTTAAACACCTTTATTTTCACCTTTTCAGTTTAAAATAAATTTCAGACTTACAAGAGGCTATAACAACAGTGTATTATCTTATGCCCTTAGCCCCAAATGTTAACATTTTACATAACCCTAGCACAAAGATCAAAACTAGAAAATTAATGATGATATATCAACTAGCCCGCATGCCTTAAGCAGGCTTTGTTCTTGTTGCCCTGATGTCCTTTTTATTCAGGACTAGAATCTGATCCAGGCATGCGTAACACATTTGCAGCTGTAATGTCCCCTCAGTCTTCTCTAATCTGGGAGCTTCTAGGTTTTTGCTTTTCTTGACTTGACTCTTTTGAAAAAAGTACTGGCCAGGAATTACATAAAATATCTTTCAGTGTAGGTTTGTCTAAGGTTGTAAATTCACAAACGCATTTTTGGCAAGAATGCCACCGAAATAACGTTGCACCTTTTATGAGAAGCCACAAGAATCGGCATGTATCGTCACTGGTGATATAACTTGAATTACTTGGGTAAGGTGCTGTTTGCCAAGTGTTACCACTGTAAATTTACTATTTTCCCTTCTGCTATGAATACATATCTGTGATGAGACTGTAAGACTGTATAAATATTCTGCCTTAACATGACTTTTCCCATTGCTAGGTTCAGTAATAATCATTACTCTGGTGTTTGCCAAGTGGTGATTTTCTGTCACCATGTCTACATATTTACTAGTTGCCATTCTAAGAGTTTTTTTCTTTTATATCATTTATTTATTCAATTATTTACTTCTATCAGTGTGATTCAAAGGGCATTTCATCCTATTTTTATTCTTTTTTAAAATTTTTACTTATTGTACTTACCATTATTATCTTGCTCAAATGGTCCCCTATCATTTTAAAACTTCAGGAGATACATACCTTTCTATATAATTGTAAGTTGAGACAAATTATTTCTGCGCTATAAAAATTATACTATTAATCCCCACAGATTCATTAGCACTAATAAGCAAAAAGATAAATGACCAGATTAGCTTACCTAAAGTTAGTTGTGGTGGTTCTGGATCAAGAACATATTCTTTTTCTGGATCTTCCACTTTGCGATACTGTGACGATTTTTTAAGTCCAGTATCTATTACTGCTCTGGTATCTCTTTTTAAAGATGTGGATCTGTTCTCTTTCTTTTGTACTTTTGTCTTAGGATGATCTGCTATTGAAAGATTTCGAAGTTGAAGATCATGTAAGATATGATCTTGTAAAGCAACTGCAATGACTGCTAAGTTATCTTTTTTAGATGAGTGACCCTAAAAAGTGGAAAAAAGGTCATATTTACAGAACCATATGTGATATCTAAAAGAGAACTGAGGCTTTATTACTCAACCTTGATGGCACATTAGACCAAAATAGAAAGGAATGCTTGACCCATTGTTACTTGAGTCAGAGCAAACCCCAGTCTTATCATTCAGGTTAATGACATAGGAATACCTTTTCATTTAATTACCAAAGCCTTAATTATAATGTGAATAGATTCACTATGACCTATAAAGCTGTGCATGCCTAACCAAATCCATGCTGTTTCACTATAATTAAATTAGACTCCAGGCAAATACTAACGAGAATGCTGTCACCCAGGCTGGAGTACAGTGGCATGATCTGGCTCACTGAGGCCTCGACTTCCTGGGCTCAAGCAATCCTCCCACCCCAGCCTCCTGAGTAGCTGGGACTACAACCACATGCTACCACATCCAGCTAACTGTTAAGAAATTTTTGTAGAGACAAGGTCTTGAACTCCTGGGCTCAAGCTGTCCTATCATCTTCCAAAGTCCTGGGATTACAGGTATGAGCCACCATGTCCAGACTTAGCATATATTTTGTGTGAAAATTAATGTTTTCTGTGTAGATAAAAATGATCAAGCAGCAAAGAGGTACTTGCAATAAGTATAACCCTAGACTATTTTTTTCATCTACCTGTCCACTGCCCCACAACGCACCTGGCATTCCCCATTCCTCCTGGAAATTCCTCGTGGAAGCAAGGTTAACTATTTTTATACTCTCCAATGACTGAATTAAAACATATTTCATGAGTCAAATGATATGCTTTGAAAAAGGATGGTATACCTTATTTTTTAACATGCTGAATCAGGAAAAGTTGTTTGGCTGTAACAAATCCTATCATCACATCACATCCTTCTATTCCTCTACTGTAAAAACACAGTCAACAGAAAGTCAAAGTTAGAGTGCATATAAAAATCTTTTGTGACGTTTATAGGGGAAGATATGCACAAGAGTCCAATCGATAATGAAGTGATGGGAATGCCTACTACAGTGTGGCACTGAGCTATAAATTCTGATTCTGGATTAAGGGGAGGAATTCAAGCCAGTTATGACTTGATTCAGCCCTTTCCTCACACAGTTCACTACTGAGTTTAGAAAACATATTAATATACACAAGAACAATGCATTGTTAAATAGACATAAGCATGACATGATTTCAGACTAAAATCAGGGACTAAAAAGATCAGAGATTTGTGAATGTAAAAGCTCCTAAAGAGGTTATTGCGCCGGCATTTGAAGACTAGACAGGAAGAAGTGAACATGTTCCACTTCAGGTACAAAGAAAACGAAGGCACCTAGGAAATCAGCATGATATGCTTGTTATTTAGGGGAGAAAGGAACAGTGAAGACACTGGAATGCAAGAGGAATACTAGCTAACTTCAATTTTTCCAGAACACAGGAGCAAAGACTATGCGGACAAACAGACTTGGGTTCTAATCTTACTCTGTTTCCTCTTCTATCAAAGAGGCAGAATAATGTTGACTGTGTAGGATTACTGCAAGGATGAAATAAGACAACCTTTGTAACGCATCTAAAAGAAATCTTTTCACACAGAAGATACTCCAGTTATTCTTGCTTCAGTTCCCTTCAAAGCTAGTGGAAGAATTTGAAATTGGCTCTTTTAGCCAGGCTCGGTGGCTCAGCCTGTAATCCCACACCTTTGGGCAGCTGAGGTGAGTGGATTGCCTGAGCCAGCGGGTTCGAGACCTGCCTGGGCAGTGAGACCTCATCTCTACAATAAATAAAAAAAAAAATCAGCCGGGCGTGGTAGCGCATGCCTGTAATTCTGGCTACTTGGAAGGCTGAGGTGGAAGGATCGCCGGAGTCCAGCAGGTCAAGGCTGCGGTGGCCGCAAGCGGCCACTGCACTCTGGTCTGGGCAACAGAGTGAGACTCCAACTCAAAAAAATAAATAAAAAAAGAAATTGGCTCTTTAAAAAAATTTTTGGGCATTTTATGAAGACAAAAGAGCTCAAAATGTACCGTAATGTAAAAAAGTTATTCAAGCAATCTAGGAAAAAGTTATTCAAGCAATCTATAGCAGCTCCTCGAAAAATGTCATTTCTTTCAATGCTGTTTTGTTATAATGTTAGTAAGAAAAAAATTGGTTCCCAGCCGGAGCCACCATCTGTGTAGAGTCTGCACATCCTCCCCACATCTATGTAATTTTTCTCTGAGTATTCTGGGCTCCTCCCATATCCCAAAGCTGTGTATGTTAGGTTTATGGCATGTCTAAATGGAGTGGGTAGGGGTGAATGTGGCTGTGTATGTGGGTGTATATGTTAATGTGTGTGAATGTAGGTGTGTATGTATGATTAGAGGTGTGTGGGTGTGTGAGTGTGGGTGTATATGTGAGTATAGGTATGCGTGTGTGTGTGGGTGGGTGTGAGTATAGGTGTGTATTTGTGTGAGTGGGTGTATATGTGAGTGTGCTGTGGGATGGGATGGTGTCCTACCCAGGGCTGTGTCCTGAGCTGCCTAGATGGACTTGACGTCCTGCCACCCTGAACTGGAACAGTGGGTTGGAAAATAGCTGAATGAATATAAATTATTGTCAAATAAAAATTAGTCAAGTAGACAATAATCACATAGAGGCAGGACAATAAACCACGTGGTCCAAAAGCACTTAGTGAGCTACCACACTTGTTCTTGTTGGGTTTGGACTGCACGGTGGGAAGGGGTACTCCTGACAGCTTTCACTTTGCATCTGTGCCTTGATGTAACCCACTACCATGACAGCTGTCACTCAGAGTCACCAAAAATTGGGTCAATCATTACCTTGTTTTTATTATTATTTCTTAAATTTATGTGTAGCTCACATGTATTCCAAAGCTTAACACTAGAAGTGCTTTCGTCTTTATTTAGAAGTTTGGTGATGTTTTTGTAACCATAAATGTGCTGTAGAAACTTAACTCTTGTTTTTATCAATTAGCCTACATGGTATAATTGGTTTTGTTATTTTGCTTAAGGTTCCATTTTCCAAGAACACATCGATGACATTAAGTGAGAACTTACTGTATTGAGGACCTAACTGTAAGAACAGAAAAATCAATCCCAAATATATCTCTAATGACTAACATCTGTATAAAATTAGTTCAACAAAAGAATAAACTGTAAAGAGAGAAAATTAAAGACAGTGGATACAAATCTATAAGATATTCAGGGCTTAGGAATAAAAGATTAGAAGCTGCTAAAATCCTTTGGAAGCTTTCATGAGTTTTTATCATAGTTCTCTCCAGTCCCTTTCAGTTGTGTCATCAAGAGATGTTTGAAAGACGCTCTGATCCAGTATCTTGTCAGGATAACCTAGCTTGGAGAGATGGTAGAAGATGTTTATAATACTAAAAGATCACTACCATAATTTTGTACTTCCAAAATGCTTATAATCTGGCAGAAAATACAGTTTGCATCATATTAAAAATTGTTTAATTATATCCAGCTATCTACAGTCTACAATTTCATCTCAAGTGTCTATATCATAGGCCGCTGCAATTCATATCAAAGTAAAAGCATTTAAAAACTGTGCTCTTTTAAGTCATAAGTATCATTAAATTTTAGAATTTAAAGGCACCCTAAACTCTTCAAATGTCTAGTCCAACTCCATCTTATAAATGAGAAAACATATCCAAACATTAGGTGACTCCTTCAAGAATATATAAATAGTCTGCGGCAATGGCAGTTAGAAACTTAATCCTGGACCAGTATTAAAAGCTAAAATTAATAGGAGATTTGAGCATTAAAAATTATTTAAAAGAGGTAGGGCTTAGTAGCAAAATCTACCATTGTGGTGCCAAAGTAATTAGTTACTAACTTGTCCAACCCATAAGCTAATTAATACACATGCTACATAAAAATTCACATACAGTTTTAAAAATAGAAAAAAAGACACAGCGCTTTGTTATGATCTCCAACCGTTTGAATGTCCTGTGCTACATTTTTAATAAGATTCTACCTGCGACGGCCAGAAGCACCCCAAACACACACAAAGCTACGTTGTTAAAATGCTCTTTAAAACGTACACCATCTTTGGACTCGGTTTCCCTTTTCGTAAGGAGCTGTATTCGATTCTAGAAATTACAGATGTTAAATAATCACTGTTAAAGCTCTTGGGCCATCTCGAAATGAGCGTCACAAACGAAGCAAGCACATGCCAAGGCCCCCCGGAGACCCACCGGCCGCCGCTGCCCGGACG